ATCGTACTGGTTGTTTACTGCGTCCCATGCGTCGTCCTGTGGGAGCGGGGCGCTGATCTCTTTAAGGATACGCCTGACCTGGTAGTACACGTGAAACATGAACACAGACTGACTCAGTGGTCCACGCCGAGTGTCGGTCAATGTCACACCACACCCCGTTGTAGCGCACCACACGCCGAAGTTTAGTTGATTCTGCCAGAACTGCATCGGGTTGTTGAACCAAGCGTGGACTGCCTTGACGTTAGTCACCGAAAGCTTATACTTGTCGAACACATCTAAAAGCCGGAAGTTGAAATACATCCCATCAGCGACTACGATCTTCATGGGTGAGAAATTTACGTCCAGTTTAGGGTAAAACACTCCAGGGGAGTACATTTTAAAACTATTATATAATGAGCATATATACTCTAACATGTACATAACACTTCTAGGAATAACGAGCAATGAGACCGTTCAGCTGGCGCATGCGATCGATAACACGTCGGGTCAACTCGAAGTCGCACTGTGCGATATCACCTACCTGCCGCGATGGACTAACATCAACGCTAGCAACAATAAACTGTTCGTAGGTGGCGCTCGCAACCAGATAACTGACGGCTACTACAGCGTGTGCTCTCTAAGCGACGAGGTCTTCAAACCCCTGGGAGCCGAACTCAAGATGAACGACTCAAAGGGTACAGTGGTGTTAATCAACAACGGAAGAAACTCCTTGAGGCTCGGTCGACCATTGGCGAGGACACTCGGTATGTCACCTGATGAGGTAAAACCAACAACTACCGTCACAGGCACGAAGTTACCCGAACCTAGTACCGTGCACCGAGCTGTGCATTCATCTCAGCCAGGTTAGCACAACGGACAACATTCAAGGGGTCACCCTTCCACTATACTGAGAGCCGTGCGGTGAAAACGGAGAAATACAACGACGGCAGAACCGATCGCTTTCACATGGCAGTATAAGAGGTTAACCCAGGGCAACATCCCTGAGCTGATAATATTGGTGTTAGATATAAATCATAATCTCGTGAATATAGGATACCTTAGCATAACGCTGCACATAAAATGACCCACGCACAAGGCCCCGGGATGAAGTTGAAAAAATGCATCAATGTGGGGATCTCCGACTTCGGGGACACACGCGGATTCGGACGACCCGGAGTAGATGGTAAATTGTACCTTGCAACTGAAAACAGTATTTACAACTGGCGTTGAAGTCCCTCCAATGGTACTAGCAATCTAAGTGATATGGTAGATACCTCAGGAGCGGTCGTCAACACTAAGTACACCCTTGTCAACACCGGTGATGATAACTGGATAATATACCCATCGTTCGGGGGCAAACTGTTCGACTTAGACGTCACATCGTCTATCACCAAAAATAAGCCATATACGCTCGTCTTCACCGATGATGACAAGTGGGTGTTATTACCAGATAAAGTCGACTGGTTTCTCAACATTAGGCTCGGCTCCCCCTACGTGTTCACGGATAACAAAGACAACTACCTAAACAAAGTCGTGAACAACGGAATCCTGCTCGTGGCTTACGTCCCGACTCAGAGACGTAGCGTAGTCATCAGCCCACTCTCCAGTATGGCAGCCCACATGCTATCAGGTAAACCGAACATGCAAAACGTGGTATTGCAGTTGGTGTCTGAATTCGAAGGCGTGGTCACCATCCTGGAGAGTCCACCGGCGAACTCAACACTGATCATCCAAGTCTACCTAGGGGAACCATCGCGGATGATGTCGAATCGCGAAGGGGGTCAAACCCGTGGGGAAACAACACCAGTATCACGCTTGCAACGCTTACGCTTTGGGTGGGTGTCGACTCCAAAACCAGTCTGCAGTGTCACCGCGATCGTGGAAGACACTATATCACTAACCAAGATCTTCCTACCCGACAACATACACTTCATGGGGGGTAAGTGCACCCCTGAACTATTATCAGAAAACCAGTTGGAAATTATATCGTAATAGTATTATAGCAATGTCTTGGCTTCGCCCCAACACTACACTTAACGACCTTGGGGACACGGAGGGATTCGATCAACCTGGTGAGGAAGACACCTCATACGTCCTACACTTGAAAGACAACGTGTATAGGCGGGCGGCAATGACAATCAGGGGCCTAGGAGACATAGAGGGGTTCGACCAGCGTGGCCAGAACGACGACTCATACGTCTTACGCTTTAAAACGGTGTGTACATAACGGCAGGACCTGGCAGTCTTAAAAGAACCCAAATGGGCGATCAACGTGACCCTCAAGACCTTATATCTCACTAGACAAATATGGCTATGTCTCTGACATTAGGAACAACGGTACCTTGATCACGTCTTTCATTCCAACTGGAAGGATGGTAGTTTCTAACTCCCTATATTGTCCGAGGGACAACCTGTTAGTTTCATCCAGGCGGTCCCAGTTAATAGCCACCCACCCCGATACCATAGCAGGGGTTAGGGCTATGGCCCCAGAATCCACACTCATCATAGAAGTCGCCTACAAGGGTAAGATTGATGATTCAGACGGCTTTGACCCACCCACAAACTTGCAACTTTTACCCGGTGTGACAATACGTTGGGGTGACAACCCCTTAACATCAGGTTTTTTACCTTGCAGATTCGTTATACGATTGGGATTACTACCCCTCATAATAAACTGCAATGATGTTGATATAGACCAGAAATTACCTATTGACCCTTCCCGTATCTACACATACTAGAATCTAAGTCTCATAAGCCTCAGGTACGTTGAACTACTATTAACTGAAGCCCAATTAAAAAATATCTCATAAGATATATTATAGGCACACAGAATGGGGCTATACCCAGTCGTAGAGGAAGTAGCGAAGACCCTTGAAACTGTAGACGGGTTCCGCTTGAGACAGTTATGTGATGTAAAACGTCAACTAGAACAAGACCGCGACACGCGGAAAGCACTATATAAGAAGTACCATAAAGCTTTCAATGCCGTGGACGGGACTGATACTACCCTTATGGCAACCAGCATGGGACCAGGGGCGGCCGGTGTTAGGTTGTTAGCCACCATCGTGGCTGCACCTATAGTGCTAGGTATTGAAATAACAGCTGGGGTGACAGGGGTGTTAGGGTTGGTGCTTAAATTTGTATCACGCAGACTGCATCGTAAAGCGTTGAAACACGACGAGATCAGGGTTCTGGCTGAAGCAAAGTTGAACACGGTAAGTGAGCGTATTTCCACGGCACTCACTGACAGTAAGATCTCAGATGAGGAGTTTCGTTCAATCCTCTCTGAACTCACAAAATATAACAAAATGAAACAAGAGATTCGATCCAAGTCTCGTAAGTCTACTACTATCAGCGAGGACGAAAAAAAAAGTACATAGAACAGGGGATACAAAAGCCCGGCAAGCCTTTATTACGAACACCAAAGAGATCATAGGCGATTCACATTAAACTGTTTCATCGAGGTCAACGCGTGACATAGTGTCATAGCGGCACGTGGAGCTATACAACATAGATAAAGTGGACATGAAATCAGACGAACCTACCTTGTATTACTTGACGTATGGGCCAGGCAGAGGACTATTGATCGTAGTGTTACCTCCTGTCAACAGCACGTGATGCGTAGGTGCGCGTGATCTACCCGTTAAATTGACCTACTTCAACTAAGTCCGCGGTAGCTCAGTCGGTTGAGTGGTGCGACCCATTATGTATAGTCTGCGCAAGCTGTACATGTGGGTTCGTATCCCGCCGTCACAACTTTGTGTGATGTGAGGGTCTCTCACGGTGAGAGACACAATTGCCCTTGGGAGGAAGCGCAATACATTTCTATTTCTCCCTTTGGGAATTGTGGTTGCCGGGGACATTTTACTACTTTTTCATATCGGCTCTTGAAATTTTTATAGGTTGGGAAAGCAGTAGGGGTAATGGTAGCAAGAGCTAAGGGCCCAACCAAAGCCTTATTTGTGAAATAAGGCTTTGCAGAGGCTTTTGTTGGACCTGGTTTCCCTTCCTCAGGGTTGTCATAACTCTTTACCTGTTGAATCTCTGAAGCCCCCAAACAATGAACATTCATGACATTTGTGTGGCCTGGACCTAAAATACACTGGCTGCCTTGTTGCTGTTTGGCTGAAACAATATTGATGCATTGTTCAATTCCAACTCAACTAGAGTTGTCATTATATACTAGGTGTCTTAATATACTGGGTGTCATATACTAGGTGTCTTAATATACTGGGTGTCATTATATACTAGGTGTCTTAATATACTGGGTGTCTTAATATACTGGGTGTCATTATATACTGGGTATCATTATATACTGGGTGTCTTAATATACTGGGTGTCATTATATACTGGGTGTCTTAATATACTGGGTGTCATTATATACTGGGTGTCATTATATACTGGGTGTCTTAATATACTGGGTGTCATTATATACTGGGTGTCTTAATATACTGGGTGTCATATACTAGGTGTCTTAATATACTGGGTGTCTTAATATACTAGGTGTCTTAATATACTGGGTGTCTTAATATACTGGGTGTCTTAATATACTGGGTGCTCTTGTGACAGCAACTAAGTTTTGACAGAGTTATGTCTTGTGCGGCTGGAAGAGTCTGATTTGCGAGTTATATTTGTGTGTGCAACTGGTCAAGGAACCTATATTAACTGTATTATTACTGCTTGGTAGTCATTCAAAAACAAATACTTGTGATCTAGTTAGAATCAGTCAGTAATCTCTCTTTTATCAGAGATTTTTTATGAATATGCAAAGGTTTTACATGACACCCACCAAGAGCACCCTGCATAATGCATCTATCTAGACGAATACTAAAGTGGTCAAATCCTACTGCTGGGGTGTAGCCACAAGGACATAAATAAATGGCAGAAGGTCTTGCAGATGTCAACATCCATCTTTATCCACCAGGTCATTTACAATTATTTGTATGCAACATATGCAGTCTACTTAATGTGGACAACTGTTCTGACTGTTGTTTCTCGGGAGACATCACAAACACATGGTATATAATTATGTACATGGGTTTAATCACAGCTTACATCAAGGAGGAGCATGATACGCCTGTAGTGAAGGACGAACATACATCATGGTTACACATGGCTGACAGCATGCACTAGGGTCAAGGACACTGAGTATTGTTGATAATTGGTTTGGACACTGAAGCCAACATTAGATAACCTATACTTGCAGCTGACAGGACACGCGCCGAATGTGTCCACTGTATGAGAACTGTGTGTCTGCACTGTGTACCCCGCTGTCACAGGACAACCGTGCAGACACAGCTCTACTGAAGACATACCCCGAAGACACAAGTTTACACTATAGGCTTGCAGACACAGAATCATTACAGCCTTAAAGCCCCAGCTTCACTGTAGAGCCTTGCATACACAGGTTCACTTGAAAGACACAACAAAGCCTAGCAGGTAAACATATGCTGGAAGGCCTTGGAGACAGGAAGGTGGATGTCAGCTTTGACAATGTGCTTAGTCATTAGTGCACAGTGCTGTAAATAGATTCACCGTCTGTAGTTCTACTGATCCCGACTCTCATATTAATCCAAAGAACGTTGTAAGTACTCTCTCCCCAACATCCATCTCCTACCCACATAATAGTCTCTTACAAACACATGTATGGGCTCGGAGTCATGTCAAATGAAATATTGCATAAACTTCACGTAACTCTGACAACGCCTCGGCACCAGACACTGGATAAAGGAACAAGTTGGAACAGGATTTCTGTTTTGTTGAAGGGTCCAATAATACAAATTATAATTCGGTTACGAAATACTGAACTCTGGAAGAATACCAACGGGTTAGAGGAACCTTCCTATGAATGCTATTCATGCACTGATGAAGCTATTAAGAAATCACCGCCAAAAAGTCTCACAACTGAGATTCAATTACCATGGTTCCACTGCTGAATAGTACTCTTGATGTGATAGATATTCTGAAAGCCTCAATGAAACCGGGCTATACATTTCATTTATCTTCAAGAAATTACAGAAACTGCAACAAAACCCCAGACTATTTAATCTGTTCATGTTACATGCTAAACAAGAAGCTAGCCCCTCAGTAGCACTAGGTATTGTATGTACAATCTCTACCATATTTACACATATCACACAATTGTATATTTTGTTGAACCAACAACTCAACCAGTGATCAAGGCAGAATACTGCATATATTCTCATCCACCCACATCATGCAGGAAGTGATGCCTACCCACACCACCCACTCAATCAAAGTATGCCACCCAGCCACACCACCCACCCACCTCCATCATCCACCTATCACACCCCGTCAAGTTGCGCCATTTAGAAACTGAGTATTTCATCAATCAATATTTAGAATAAACCTGACAAATTCTAATTGTTCTCTGGCAATATCATCAACCATGTATTCAGACAAAGCATCCTCATTATTATTCCATAGCACGTACCAATCAAAGCAACAGTCAATTTAGTCATCATAGTGAGCATGCTGGCTCTGAGACAATATAACAAAGTGAAGCTTGTGCCTGTATAGATACCCGTCTTCCAGACAGGCTATGGGAAACAGAGGACAGCACAGGAGGGTGCTGGTGTGGAATGACTAGGATCATGATGTTGCTGTTGATGATGTTGCTGCGGAAGCTGCAGACGCTGCTGTATACAGACTGGCCTGACACAAGGTCAGAGTATGATTACAATTTAAATGGGCAACTGTGTTGAGATGAAGTCTGTCGGAAACAAGAATCATGGAACGCCAAATGCCACCACCAAATCCTCTTTGTGCTGGATTTTCACGTCTTTCATTGCCTTGGCTGCCTTGGCCGCCACACTTGTAATCTGAAACACAACCATATGACAATAGCAAACTTGGTGACACATCATCATACATCTGTCATCTGTATGTCACCATACACCTACCATCTGTATGTCATCATACACCTACCATCTGTATGTCATCATACACCTACCATCTGTATCTCACCATACACCTACCATCTGTATCTCACCATACACCTACCATCTGTATCTCACCATACATCTACCATCTGTATCTCACCATACACCTACCATCTGTATCTCACCATACACCTACCATCTGTATCTCACCATACATCTACCATCTGTATGTCACCATACACCTACCATCTGTATCTCACCATACACCTACCATCTGTATGTCACCATACACCTACCATCTGTATCTCACCATACATCTACCATCTGTATCTCACCATACATCTACCATCTGTATGTCACCATACATCTACCATCTGTATGTCACCATACACCTACCATCTGTATCTCACAATACACCTACCATCTGTATCTCACCATACACCTACCATCTGTATCTCACCATACACCTACCATCTGTATCTCACCATACACCTACCATCTGTATGTCACCATACACCTACCATCTGTATCTCACCATACATCTACCATCTGTATCTCATCATACACCTACCATCTGTATCTCACCATACACCTACCATCTGTATGTCACCATACACCTACCATCTGTATCTCACCATACACCTACCATGTATCTCACCATACATCTACCATCTGTATGTCATCATACACCTACCATCTGCATCTCACCATACACCTACCATCTGTATCTCACCATACATCTACCATCTGTATCTCACCATACACCTACCATCTGTATGTCATCATACACCTACCATCTGTATGTCACCATACACCTACCATCTGTATCTCACCATACACCTACCATCTGTATGTCACCATACACCTACCATGTATCTCACCATACACCTACCATCTGTATCTCACCATACACCTACCATCTGTATGTCATCATACACCTACCATCTGTATGTCACCATACACCTACCATCTGTATCTCACCATACACCTACCATCTGTATCTCACCATACACCTACCATCTGCATGTCATCATACACCTACCATCTGTATGTCACCATACACCTACCATCTGTATCTCACCATACACCTACCATCTGTATCTCACCATACACCTACCATGTATCTCACCATACATCTACCATCTGTATGTCATCATACACCTACCATCTATATGTCACCATACACCTACCATCTGCATGTCATCATACACCTACCACCTGCATCTCATCATACACCTACCATCTGTATGTCATCATACATCTGCCATCTATGTCACCATACACCTGCCATCTGTATGGCATCATACACCTGCCATCTATGTCTTCATACACCTGCCATCTGTATGTCATCATACACCTACCATCTATATGTCATCATACACCTACCATCTGTATGTCACCATACACCTACCATCTACATGTCATCATACACCTACCATCTGTATGTCACCATACACCTACCATCCGTATGTCACCATACACCTACCATCTGTATATCATACACCTACCATCTGTATGTCATCATAAACCTACCATCTGTATGTCTGCTAGTGTGACCGGAGGGGCAGCCAGCACCATCTGCGGGGCTGAAATCCCGTTGGGCAGTGATGGACGATATGACTTGGCTCTTCCATGGCCACTCATCACCATATTCAGTCGATTGCTGCAGAGAAAATGTAAAGACATTCAAGTTAACACCGAGAACCTTTTTGTTTGTCTGCCCCAATCTCTTCTTTGACTGGCATTCTCCCAATATCTGTCAACATTACATGTCTATCACTCCATGTGTTTACTGGTGTGTTCAAAAGTACCTGTCTAGCCTCTCACATGGGTTTATTCTGTGTACAATGGCTATGTATCAATCTGTCTAAAGCAAGTTCAGATCTACGTGTCCACAAAGGGCTTCCTATCTACCTGTCCACAAAGGGCGTCCTATCTACCTGTCCACAACGGACTTCCTATCTACCTGTCCACAACGGACTACCTATCTACCTGTCCACAATGGGCTTCCTATCTACCTGTCCACAATGGACTACCTATCTACCTGTCCACAATGGGCTTCCTATCTACCTGTCCACAATGGACTTCCTATCTACCTGTCCACAATGGGCTTCCTATCTACCTGTCCACAATGGGCTTCCTATCTACCTGTCCACAATGGGCTTCCTATCTACCTGTCCACAAAGGGCTTCCTATCTACCTGTCCACAAAGGGCGTCCTATCTACCTGTCCACAATGGACTTCCTATCTACCTGTCCACAACGGACTACCTATCCACAAAGGGCTTCCTATCTACCTGTCCACAATGGGCTTCCTATCCACAAAGGGCTTCCTATCTACCTGTCCACAAAGGGCTTCCTATCTACCTGTCCACAATGGACTACCTATCTACCTGTCCACAAAGGGCTTCCTATCTACCTGTCCACAATGGACTACCTATCTACCTGTCCACAATGGACTTCCTATCTACCTGTCCACAATGGACTTCCTATCTACCTGTCCACAAAGGGCTTCCTATCTACCTGTCCACAATGGACTACCTATCTACCTGTCCACAATGGGCTTCCTATCTACCTGTGCACAATGGGCTTCCTATCTACCTGTCCACAATGGGCTTCCTATCTACCTGTCCACAATGGGCTTCCTATCTACCTGTACACAATGGGTCGCTTCTACTAGTGGTGTAAAGATACAGCAGTCAAGTAATGTATCACGATACAAGGCTCATGATACAACACATTGATTTCCAACTCCTGTACCACAGTACACATTCATTACACTACAAATTACAAGTAACATTGATGCAAAACATGAATAATGACAAATTTTTCAAGAACCAGTTTATGCAGATTCTCAATTATCTTCTAGTTTGCAACGTTTTACAGTACCCACAAACTTACATTTCTCCCCTACAATTTCCCATCTTTGCTGTCTGTGATATAGAAAATAACGATTCACCTGCAGCAAGGGAGAGACTATGAACTTAAGAAATGAAAGTACTGTCTCAAGATATGAATCATATTACACCCATACTATCAGGATACATAACATATACGGCCTCATCATATCTACAAGTCATTCATAGGTTCATATCTACCTGTCTATAATAGTTTCATATCTACCTGTCTATAATAGTTTCATATCTACCTGTATTGCCTTGCTCTGTCATGGTATTCATGTTGCTCCATAGTCTGGGAGTCTGTGGATGTCACGTCTATCACATCCCTGTAACATACAGTGTATCACATCCCTGTAACATACAGTGTATCACATCCCTGTAACATACAGTGTATCACATCCCTGTAACATACAGTGTCGTGGTTACATATCTGTTACTCACCAGGGTCTCTCTAGTTGTTCATGCACAAAAAAAGGGACTCACCAGGGTCTGTCAAGCTGTTAATGCACACAGGGACTCACCTAGCTGTCTTGTTAAGTATCCGGCTCAGTGCTGACTGTTCATCCCCCTTCTGGGATGCCTGTGTGTACTGGGACCCACTTCTCTCTCTGTAACCATGACAACCAGGCATTAATTCTTTGTATTGGGACAATTATCACAGTTTACACACTCACACACACACACACACACCACTTCTAGACTGTCATGGCTACTGACATGGTAGAGCTGGCAATGGCCAGCATCAAGCAGCTTACTGGATAATGAAGACTGTAAGTGTAACATCTCACTCAGTAAATACTAGTCTGATCCATTTGTTCTGTCCAGCCATTGATACCTGCCAACTGTATATCATAGATGATGCAGTGTAGCTAGACACCACCCACCTGTCACAGGAAGATTCACTTACCTAGGGCACGACTGGTTGTACCCAAGTGACTTGATTAACCTATAGGACTGTTCATAATTTATGGCTAGGGGGGTGATGATGATTATAAAGGTAGGGGTGGGTGTGTGTCTGTCACCCATTTTGTGTGTGTGTGTGTGTGTGTGTGTGTGTGTGTGTGTGTGTGTGTGTGTGTGTGTGTGTGTGTGTGTGTGTGTGTGTGTGTGTGTGTGTGTGTGAGAGAGATAAATTTTGTACATGTTTTAGGGGGTCAGCACCTGTACATAAAAATATCTAAATATTATGCTTTAAAAATCTGGGAAGGGGAGGAGGGGCTGGTGGTCGTCATTGACTTTGTAAATGACATGCAGGTGAGCTGACTTACCCAGGTATCAACTGGTTGTAACCAGGTCAGCTGACTTACCCAGGTATTGGCTGGTTGTGGTCTGGAGGGGACGGGTTGAGGAGACGAGTTCTCTCTGTCGGACTGATGAGCTGGATAAAGGAACGTGTTACCATAAATTACAGTAACTTACTTTTCAGCCAAGAAGGTTATGTAGTAAAAGCCATGCTTAGTTTCAAAGGATAAAAAAACACAAATAATATGTGTACCTACCTATCATTTTAAATGAATTTTATCAAAATGCCAGTTACAGTTAACCACTGTTATTTTATTGCAATTAACACAATTCATGACATTGACAATTCTCATTCTGTATGAATCCTTGAATGCAGGAATCAATAAACACAAGAGTTGATACACTTCACACATATATTTACAATGCAACACATAGATTATTGACTGATTCTCTGACTAGAACTGCGGTTTGCACACAAACATTTGTACTGGTTATCACTAGTGGTCAGGAGTGATTTACTAACAGACAGATAAAATCCATCACTACTCTGATCCTAGAACATGGACAGTCCCAGGAAATGCTGCTGACAGTGTAGTCATCATGTTTATCACACCTCACTATCACACATTCTTGTTGCTGAATACAGACTTTTGTATTGCAATGTACGGTCTGCCTTTCACCCGCATTGGGAAATGCACTGCAATGCATCAGAGATTTTTCATTTACATTTTCATAAGTTAATTAGAATTATACACTGTAACATGCAGTAAAAATTACATTGACAGTCATTGCATACCTTCAGTGGATTCTGAATTCAGGTGAACCTACAGGTGATATCAAACTTGGTCAATGAATAGGTGAAATTTACAACAACAAAATCATGCCATGCTGGCTCGCCACTTAAGTTCAATTTCCTGGTCAGCTGGGAAATGCTTTATAAGATTACTGTGTGTATTTTCTCATAAGCAGGAAAATAGAAATAAACCCTACACAACATTTCCCTAACCTACCTGTGATGCACTTAAAATGACCTAACTTCATACATTTTAGATGCTGCATTGATGGACAAAAACTGATTTGAAACTACATACTTGGCAGGAATGATTATTAGAAAGAATAATACATAGAGAATACTACACGAGGTCTCATTACATATGAATTATACGAAACGAGTGTCCTTTCGCTCGGTCAGAACCATAGGAAGGTCACGAGTTTTGTATAATTCATATGTAATGAGACCGAGTGTGGTATTTTATTTATTACCAACGTCTTACATGCATTAAATTGACAAAATAGCGTATTTTTTATATTTCTATGGTTTCAAACAGAAACTGGTTTCATAAAGAGGTTGCGGAAGAGTTTTGTACTGTAGTACAATATTTGCATGATCGTCAAAGACCGTAATGATCGCCACTGCCTTGGTAACGGCGTCCAATGATGCATGTCAGTTGTCATCATACCATTGCAGCCTCCTACAGTAACCTACTCTGTAGCACCCCCGCTTCTTGGTTTGCAGTTGCTTCATCTGGCTAACATCACAGGTGGAAACATTGGCGTGCTATGTTTTAGACGGATATAATGTCTCAGTTCGACTCACAATTAAACAGCGACACAGCAACATTCGGCATAATGTTTACATTCCCAATGCATTTAAGTTGTAGAATGAATGAATTCACGTGTTTGTTATCAATGAAAGAATAGTTACGTCAGAATGTGACCTAATTGAGAGGTCATCGGTTATCCAATCAAATCGTTAGAATCTCAGGTCAAGTCGTTACGACACAGGTCAACGTGATACCACACTCGTGTGACGTACGAGGTTAGTATGCAACTACCCATATGTTGACCACGTGGGTAATAAATTACATTTACATGTTATCCTAATGCACATTTTATCATATACTTTAAAAGTAATAATAACAACCATAAGCATAGTCCTTGGGTACAGCTGATTGTCATAGTCACATATTTTGTCACTAATGGAATATTTTAACCAGTCACTATATGGGCCTTGTGCAGTTTTTCTATTTCATTTAATATTTAAGTCAAAGTATGGCATGTATCCATTGCTGCCAAATAAAATTAGTCTCAAGGCATCAATAGTTAATAATGGTGAGTTGTCAGTTATTGTGTTTGTAACTGTTATGTTTTGACCAAATAAATATAAACAATATGGAACATACTTTGGAAGAAAACAATAATTTTGATTACAAACATAGGTTCAGATATACAAGTACAATGAACAGCTTTTAAGACTAGATTATGTAATATAAGGATAAAATTGTGTATGTCAATAAGTGCTCATTGTTGTATTTGCTACACTGCTGTGTTCTTTTTATCAGTAGTACAACCTAAACTCAAGAAAAAATTGTGTACTTGTATTTTGCAATAATAAACTGCTACATTTACAAATTTACTGCAACATGTATTGCTGAAAATTTCCACTGCAGTATACCCCACCATTACAGTTTACCATCTCCAATATAAAAAATTAACATATCCTGCATATCCAGGTGCAGTTGCCAAGGTTACTGCATCCCCTCATGTCCTAGATGCACCCTTACACTTCAACATACCATCTCTTAAATATAAAAACATTCTGGAAATTGAAAAACATAGTTTGTAGTTGTACATTCTATCATAATGTAATGTCAGCTAAACTGATGAACAAGATGACGACAAAAGTCAAAATATACTTGCATTCATCTGAAGTAAACTTTGGATGTATGGAGATTAAAAAAAAACTTATTTTTTGTAAAAACCCAAACTATTAATGCAACTTGACAATTTCCCTTTTCACAACTTAGTTGACCGTGCCGTACCAAGTTTTCGGGGGAACCATGTTTTCGGGGTATGTCTTTTTCCCGTAATTTCTAGCGTACAGAGAGATGACAGCACCACCTGTAAACACCGTCTCCAGTGCAGAAGCTTCCGTGGCAACCGGGACACAAAATGTTTGAAATACCCAGCTTTCATGTAAATTGTGACCTAAATTTCTGTCAAAGTACTAAAATTCTACCCTAGAAAGTAATGCACTTTCAGAACCTTCATAAATGTGATCATAACTTTTGAAATAAAGGTCGTAACTTGTCAAGCGGACCATCGTCTGCTAGAGTGAAAAGGCAAGCATAAACATCACGTGACTCTAATGGAATGTTGCCGACGTAATAAAAAAACTATGGAAGACCGAATTGGTCATCTCTTACATATTTCTGCTTGACTTTTCATTAAAATGCCACGTTGTATTTGTTGACTTCTTGGGAGAAGAATGCATCACCTGGGCTTCCATACAAGGTCGTGACCCCACGCTATAACGAGTAACCCGAAAACATGGTACGTCACTTCACGCGCTGGGGGACAGACACAAAATGTTCGCTGCATTGGAAACCAGCGGACGACAGAACATTCTGACAATAAACTTATGAAAGGTGAGATGATATTTAATTCGTTGGTTTCACATTAATTTTCGACTCGATGTGCGCATGCGTAGAGCGTGTAAAAATATCCACTGGTCAGTTCCGGTTTGGTCGTATTAGCGATATTGTAAACACGCTCTAAATAAATGCTGTATAAAAATTATTTACGCGTGGCAACTGTTCATAGTTGAGTACATACATCAATTTGCCTATGCTTTTCTATACTTGATGTCCTATTTTGGTGGCATTGCATCAGAGATGTGTTTTTTTTTACTTGTGAGAAGGGGATGTGCAGGAAGGACAGTGGACGGGTGGTGGTGAGATGTGTTTATACAAGAGCTTGTTAACAAACGTTAAGCTATTTATTTAACCGGTCCGGTCTCTTCCATTCATAAATGAATTGAGATTAGTTAAATTCGACATAAAACCATATATTTGTTTTGATTTTTGCTTACTTTAGAGTGCGTTTACACTATCGGTAAAGCTTACGACCAAACTGGAATTGGCCTGAGGATATTTTTACACGCTCTGCGCATGCGCACAGCGAGTCTAAAATTAATGTGAAACCAACGCATTACGGAATTACGGTTTTGATAATCTACTGATACGCAATAATTCACATGATCATCTTTGCGTTATTACCCCGAAAACAGGTTCCACCATGGTACTTCATGTTTTTGTTAAAATGAATTTAGATACTGACTTAAAAATACCAATGTAAGATTTGTCTGTTTGAAAAAATATGACAGTTTCGAACAGCGTTTTTATGCTAATGACTAAAAGACACTCGGAGTCTCGGTATGTCAGCGTCACATGATGGATACCGAGCGGGTTCAGTTGCAACCTTCGAAACATTGTTGGAACAGAGGGCACTCGCCGATTCTTGAAAATCAGGTAGTCAATCAGTCGTTTGTTTGCAGACGTTGCCATGCAGAACAATCATGTTACCTTCAGATGTGTCTGGGAGGCGTGTGTAATGTAAACAGGGAAGTCGGGTCACATAATGCCTGCGATAACACTGTAACAAGTATGCCATCCCCACGGTGCGTAAACATATCCACCAGAAAGATCACTTGTGGTGCTCAAAGGTTCTTAGGACAGTCGGCATAATTACCCCGTCATCTTTATCGTCGTCACTACTGTAGCAACATCCCATTTTGTAAGCTCATATGCAAACTGTTCATCGGTCTTCTCTTCCTCATATGACATACGCTTCGCACTGAATGGTGTGGACTATACTATTGGCTGAAATATGTCGAAATAAATCAAGACATATTTTAGCAATTTACTTCACAACACATTTGTAACTGATGAACACAATATTTCTATAAACGACCGACAATATCAATTTACAAGACCCTGAAGGATCGTGAAAGTCCGACAAGAAATCCCGATTCGCCGCTGAGCTATTTTGTCGTTTCAAGATGGCCGCGCCCATGACAAACTTAGGGAAAACATGGGTTGCAACCATAAATCCACTTCTACGCATTTGTAAGCAAAAAGGTTACAGTTATAGGTGCTACAGTTTTGCAAAGCAATCAATAGCGCGTATGCTCGAAAAGTCGCCGATTCAAGACAATGTACAAGTGAAGGTACGGAAGTGAAAATAGAACCGAAAACAAATCGTGTAAAGGACCATTAATTGTTTGTGGTCTCTTTTAGAGTACTATACTAGTAATAGCACAGCTGGCCTGTAACCATGTGAACTTGTCATATCGAGTCGTACATTGTCGTCTATAAACGTCATCTATTGTCTACTTCCCCCAAATGACTTGATGAAATCTGCTGAAATGTATCCTCGCTTACCATGAGGGGATTCAAGTTTGTTCAAGGTCTCAAAATCAGAAGTTCAATATGATGACGTAACTTTCTTTGATTTGTTTACGAAAATATACTACTAAACGAAAAGGGACAGAGGTCTACAGCAGTGTTGGGAAATTGCGCCTCTCGGCTAGGAAATATGTAGAATCATTAATCTATAACACTATATTAACTAGGGGTGAAACGGTATACCACGGTGTTAGTAGAACCGTGGTATTTTGCCTTTGGTTCGGTATACCGTAATCCAATCCAAAAATTCGGTATTTTCGGTATACGTACCATCATTTATTAACATTTTAAACCCTTTTCTAAAATGTCTAGAAATCGAATCATTTTGTCAAATTCTTTGCTAGATGGCCGCTATTTTCCTGGAAGTAAGTTCTCATATACTGAACCGAAACGGACTGAACCGAAGACTTTGTACCGTAATACGTACCGTACCGTGGTAAGAGCATACCGTTTCACCCCTAATATTAATAGGACAACACCTCAATGGTTCTAGGCAAAAGAAAGTTTTGTATGAAAAACAAAAACGCTGGTACAGGATTGAAGCCAAGCAGGAAATATAACAATGCAGCTGTCCGAAAACGTCGTACAACTTGTGCTTTTTTTTCAAAACATGAAAAACAAAATTGTGGGACATTGGTCCAAATGCATGTGCATGATTGTGGCATAAATACAGATGTTAGACAGAGCAAGCTTGCTGTAACAAAAAAACACCACAAATTTGCCAAGACTTATGTTATACAATGAGACAAGGTTATCGGTATGGCCAATATGGAAGCTTCACAATGTCAGCTGGCAAGAACCTTCAACTGCGGCCAGGCCACCATGAGCAAATTGATAAACCACTACCAGCAAACAGGCCAGACCCAAGTCTACCCTAGATCTGGAAGACCAAAAGTCATGACACTGGCCGAAGACTGCTACATTCAGCAGATGCAGCTCCCAAACATATTCAGACAAACAGTGCTTCAATAATGATAATAATAATAATAGGCCATTTATATAGTGCCTTTCCACGTCACAGGGATATGCTCAATGACTTGGTATGGCTGGTATATGAGATTACCGCCCCTTCCATGGAACATTAACGCAGACTGCAACAGACAAGAACTGTACGTCTGTGGTAGCATCATATGCAGTTTTTATATGTTATGATAAAATATATTTCAAATTAAAATGAAATCGGTGAAGAAATAAAGATTTTAGAAAATTCTAAGGTTACACTGTTATATATAATACACAAGGGAAGACACTCCTGATGCTAAAAACCTGATCGACAAGCGGGCAGCCTGACTTTTTTAACGTGCAGTTCAAATGGGCAGTTTCACCCAAAAATTGTGTTGAGCTTGAAGGTAATTCTTTTACTATACGTCAGTGTTCACGAATAGCGTCTGACCCTCTGACAAATCCGGCAGATTCGCTAACAGTCAGACAGAAGTCTACAACCTGCCGGCCCCAGTGTCTGACTGTATATTTCACAATGACTTTGACTGAAGTTATTTAATGTGACACGTGACACTTGTTTTCTGTTTATAAATTTTATGTTTGTTAATAATTTCAATGTCAATTATAAGAAATATTAAATCTGAAATGTATGTATAATTTTATTTCATGGGTCCTGTGCATTTTCAATGGGTCAGACAGACATCTGAAACTTACAGGACCAAATGTCCTGTGACTTTGAAACACCATTCGTGAACACTGTACGTAGTATTCAATTTGTCTAACTGCATTTCATATTTGACCACAGACCCTCGCAATGGCACTACCCTCTGCTGTGAACAAACGTTTGGCCTCTCTTCGGTAAAAATCGACAGTTTCTGTAAATCTCTGAATGACTTGGAAACAGAAAATGGCTCTCACTGGTCAATTTCCACATGTTGTTGGAAACATGAAAATTGTGTTTTCCCACCTTCGTGGAAATTGATCAATTAGAGCTGTTTTCCTGGGGTAACGGGTCATTCAGAGATTTACAGAAACTGTCCGTAATTACCTAAATATGATGCGGTGCCTTGGATGCAACTTTGGTCCTTAACTTGTTTAATATCTCCCTAAATACACAAGTCTGAAAAAATTGAAGGTTTAAACATAAGATGTTTTTCAGGGTTGGGTTCGAGCAATACGTGGACATCGTGATGTCATCTTCTTACACGTCTCTGATGGGTCCTGTGTCAAACCACTCCAGGTTGTGGCAGACCCAAGCCTTTGTGGCAGGTAGGTGCAGTTATTTCAATCACTTTGATGAAATGGGTCTGTCAGATACATGAAGTGGGTGTGTGAGAATGAAGTGGGTATGTCAGGTACTGAAGTGGGTGTGTCAGGTACTGAAGTGGGTGTGTCAGATACATGAAGTGGGTGTGTCAGGTATATGGAGTGGGTGTGTCATGTATAAGAAGTGGATGTGTCAGATACATGAAGTGGGTGTGTCAGGTATATGAACTGGGTATGTCAGGTACTGAAGTGGGTGTGTCAGATACATGAAGTGGGTGTGTCAGGTATATGGAATGGGTGTGTCATGTATATGAAGTGGATGTGTCAGATACATGAAGTGGATGTGTCAGATACATGAACTGGATGTGTCAGGTACATGAAGTGGGTGTGTCAGATACATGAAGTGGGTGTGTCAGGTACATGGAGTGGGTGTGTCATGTCTATGAAGAGGATGTGTCAGATACATGAAGTGGGTGTGTCAGATACATGAACTGGATGTGTCAGATACATGAAGTAGGTGCCTCAGATACATGAAGTGGATGTGTCAGATACATGAAGTGGGTGTGTCAGATACATGAAGTGGGTGTGTCAGAGACATGAAGTGGGTGTGTCAGATACTTGAAGTAGGTGTGTCAGGTATATGAAGTGGGTGTGTCAGATACATGGAGTGGGTGTGTCATGTATATGAAGTGGATGTGTCAGGTATATTAAGTGGGTGTGTCAGATACATGAAGTAGGTGTGCCATGTATATGAAGTGGATGTGTCAGGTATATTAAGTGGGTGTGTCAGATACATGAAGTAAGTGTGTCAGAAACATGAAGTAGGTGTGTCAGAGACATGAAGTAGGTGTGTCAGATATATGAAGTGGGTGTGTCAGATACTTGAAGTAGGTGTGTCAGATACATGAAGTGGGTGTGTCAGATACATGAAGTAGGTGTGTCAGATACATGAAGTAGGTGTGTCAGATACATGAAGTAGGTGTGTCAGATACATGAAGTAGGTGTGTCAGATACATGAAGTGGGTGTGTCAGATACATGAAGTGGGTGTGTCAGATACATGAAGTGGGTGTGTCAGGTACGTGAAGTTTGTTGTTGTTGTAGTTGTGTTAAATGTTTTGATACATTGTGGTCATGTGTTGTTGCAGTGATGTGACCTATGGATGCTGTGTGGCCGTGGAGGGCAGTCTGATCGAGAGCTCCCACCCAGGTCAGATGGTGGAGGTGGCTGCACACAGAGTGCAGGTGTTGGGACCTTGTGACCCTGTGGTAGGTATCATATCCCACTCCAGCCCGATGTCTAACACAGGTACACCAACATAGACTGACTTCATCATGTATGGCCCATCTAACCTGACCCAGGTACACCAACATAGACTGCGCGTCACTGTATGGACCGACATCTAACCTGACCCAGGTACACCAACATAGACTGATCATGTATGGCCCATCTAACCTGACCCAGGTACACCAACATAGACTGACTGTATGGCCCATCTAACCTGACCCAGGTACACCAACATAGACTGACTGTATGGCCTATCTAACCTGACCCAGGTACACCAACATAGACAGACTTCATTACTATGGCTCTATCTAACCTGACCCAGGTACACCAACATAGACTGACTTCATGCATGTATGGCCTATCTAACCTGACCCAGGTACACCAACATAGACTGACTTCATCATGTATGGCCTATCTAACCTGACCCAGGTACACCAACATAGACTGACTTCATCATGTATGGCCCATCTAACCTGACTCAGGTACACCAACATAGACTGACTTCATCATGTATGGCCTATCTAACCTTGACCTGCAGGTACACCAACATAGACTGACTTCATCATGTATGGCCCATCTAACCTGACCCAGGTACACCAACATAGACTGACTTCATCATGTATGGTTTATCTAACCCGACCCAGGTACACCAACATAGACTGACTTCATCATGTATGGCCTATCTAACCTGACCCAAGGTAACACCAACATAGACTGACTTTATCATGTATGGCCCATCTAACCTGACCCAGGTACACCAACATAGACTGACTTTCTATCATGTATGGTTTCCATCTAACCTGACTAGGTACACCAACATAGACTGATTCTCACCATGTATGGCCTATCTAACCTGACTCTAGGTACACCTTAACATAGATTCTGACTTTATCTATGTATGTGGTTCCATCTAACCTTGACCTAGGCATATCTAACATAGACTGACTTCTTGATCATGTATGGCCCTTCATCTAACCTGGACCCAGGTACACCAACATAGACTGACTTCTACCATGTATGGCCTATCTAACCTGACTCTAGTAGGTACACTGACATATAGACTGACTTTATCATGTATGGCTAAATATCTTAACTGTCTACCCAGGGGTACACCAACATAGACTGACTTCATCATGTATGGCCCATCTAACCTGACTCCAGGTGGGTACACCAACATAGACTGACTTCTATCATGTATGTGGCCCATCTAACCTGACCCAGCTACACTAACAACATAGATCCTGACTGTATGGTGGCCTATCTAACCTGACTCCAGGTACACCAACATAGACTGACTTCACCATGTATGGCCTATCTAACCTGACTCAGGTACACCAACATAGACTGACTTTATCATGTATGGCCCATCTAACCTGACCCAGGTACACCAACATAGACTGACTTCATCATGTATGGCTCATCTAACCTGACCTCAGGTACACCCAACATAGACTGACTTTCATCATGGTATGGCCCATCTAACCTGACCCAGGTACACCTAACATAGACCTGACTTCACCATGTATGGCCTATCTAACCTGACCCAGGTACACCAACATAGACTGATTTCACCATGTATGGTCTATCTAACCTGACTCAGGGTACACCAACATAGACTGATCTCTTATCATGTATGGCCCATCTAACCTGATTCCAGGTACACCAACATAGACTGATCTCCTCACTCATGTATATTCCATCTAACCCGACCCAGGTACACCAACATAGACTGACTCTCATCATGTATGGGTTTATCTAACCTGGACTAGGTACACCAACATAGACTGACTTCTCATCATGTATGGCCTATCTAACCTGACCCAGGTATACACCAACATAGACTGATTCCCCATCATGTATGGCCCTATCTAACCTGACCCAGGTACACCAACAACATAGACTGACTTCATCATGTATGGCCCATCTAACCTGGACCCAGCTACACCAACATAGACTGACTGTATAATTCCATCTAACCTGACCCAGGTACACCAACATAGACTGACTTCACCATGTATTGTGGCCTATCTAACCTGACGTTAGGTACACCAACATAGACTGACTCCCTTATCATGTATGGCCCATCTAACCTGACCCCAGGTACACCAACATAGACTGACTTCATCATGTATGGCTCCATCTAACCTGACCCAGGTACAATTCAACATAGACTGACTTCTCATCATGTATGGCCCATTCCACCTGACCCAGGTACACCAACATGACTCAGACTGACTTCATCATGTATGGCCTATCTAACCTGACCCAGGTACACCAACATAGACTGACTCATCATGTATGGCCTATCTAACCTTACCTCAGGTACACCAACATAGACTGGACTTCATCATGTATGTCGTTGCTCCATCTAACCTTGGACCCAGGGTAGTACACCAACATAGACCCGGATTTACTCATCATGTATGTCGTCTATCTCACCTGACCCAGGTACACCAACATAGACTGACTCTCATCATGTATGGCCTATCTAACCTGACCCTAGGTACACCAACATAGACTGACTTCATCATGTATGGCCCATCTAACCTGATCCAGGTACACCAACATAGACCGACTTCATCATGTATATTCCATCTAACCTGACCCAGGTACACCAACATAGACTGATTCTTATCATGTATGGCCCATCTAACCTGACCCAGGTACACCAACATAGACTGACTTCATCATGTATGGCTTCCATCTCAATCTCCTGACTCCAGGTACACCAACATAGACTGACTTTCATCATGTATGGCTCTATCTAACTGACCTAGTGGTACACCCGAACATATGGACTGACTTCATCATCTATGGCCTATCTAACCTTGACCCAGGTACACCAACATAGACTGATCTCTATCATGTATGGGTTTATCTAACCTGGACCCACCCAGGTACACCAACATAGGACTGATTCTCATCATGTATGGTTCCATCTAACCTGACCCAGGTACACCAACATAGACTGACTTCACCATATGCATGGTTTATCTAACCTGACCCAGGTACACCAACATAGACTGATTCCCCCATCATGTATGGCTCCATCTAACCTTGACCCAGGTACACCCAACATAGACTGACTTCACCATGTATGGCTATATCTAACTCCTGACTCAGGTACACCAACATAGACTGACTTTATCATGTATATCCCATCTAACCTGACCCAGGTACACCTAACGACTCTGACTTCATCATGGATGGCCCATCTAACCCGACTCTGGTACACCAACATAGGACTGACTTCACCATGTATGGCCTTATCTAACCTTGACTCAGGTACACCAACATAGACTGATTCCCATCATGTATGGCTCCATCTAACCTGACCCAGGTACACCAACATAGACTGATTCATCATGTATGGTCTATCTAACCTGACCCTAGGTAATACCAATCAACATAGACTGACTTCACCATGTATGGTTGGTCCATCTGAACCTGACTCAGGTACAATTCAACATAGACTGATTCTTTATCATGTATGGCCTATCTAACCTGACCTAGGTATTACCAACAGACTGACTTTTATCATGTATGGCTCATTCTAACTCTGACCGCAGGCACAATTCAACATAGACTGACTTTCATCATGTATGGCTCATCTAACCTGACCCAGCTACCAGTTCAACATAGATTGGATCTCTGTATGGCCCATCTAACTCCGACCCAGGTACAATTCAACATAGACTGACTTCACCATGTATGGCCTATCTAACCCGACTCCTAGGTACACCAACATAGACTGATTCTTATCATGTATGGCCCATCTAACCTTTAGACCTAGGTACACCAACATAGACTGACTTCATCATGTATGGCCTACATCTAACCTGACCTAGGTACACCAACATAGACTGATTCCCTCACCATGTATGGCCCTTATCTAACTCCACTCCAGGTGGTCACACCAACATAGACTGACTTTATCATGTATGGCCCATCTAACTCCGGACCCAGGTACACCAACATAGACTGACTTCTATCATGTATGGCCTATCTAATCCTGACCTAGGTACACCAACATAGACTGACTTCATCATGTATGGCCTATCTAACCTGGGACCCCAGGTACACTAACATAGACTGACTTCTCTGGTCATGTATGGCCCATCTAACCTGGGACCCAGGTACACCAACATAGACTGACTTCACCATGTATGGCCTATCTAACCTGACCCAGGTACACCAACATAGACTGACTTCATCATGTATGGCTCCATCTAACCTGACCCAGGTACACCAATAGACACTTCATCATGCTATGGCCTATCTAACCTGTATCGTAGTGAACCTCCTCCTGTATGTACCATTACATGAGGTTGTAACAGCCAGATGTATTCTTCTGTTTCTTAGCCTCCATGTTGTAGTGGTTAGAGGATCCCCGCCAGGCTCACAGGTTCGATCGAGTAGCATCATACCAAAAGAGCGTTAAGCTAATGTTCTTGTTGTTCCCCGCTTGGCCATTAACACAACAAGGACTGGAAACTGGAAGTATAATGTGTCTCTTGTTGGGGTATTCTGCTTCAGTCTGGGCATGGTATCTCAGTGGGATAGCACTATAAATCCATTAAGTCTGGACACATACACATACACATACATACACTTCATCATGTGAGGCAAATATTAAGCAACAACGTTAAACCCCATTTCACATCACCTGTTTTCAGTAAACTTTGTTTTGCATCTTTTAGGAATTTCCATTCAAAGCCAGGAAGAAGCACTCTACAGATTACATCCGCGATGCGTACTCTCATCTCCGACCACGCATCTAACACCTTCAGTTCATTGTTGAGAATCAGGAGTCAAGCCACTGCTGCCTTCCACAAATACTTCCAGGTATACACTGTATTCAGAGAATCTAGATTCTAACCCTTGCACTATTCTTAGTCAACATAGACCCTCCTCCGGTGTAGTAGTGGTTACAGCTGGCCCCACTGAGAGCGGAAGGTCGCTGGTTCAACTCCCGACCGCTGCCATACCAAAAGCGTTAAAATATATGGTACTTGTTGGTCCCTGCCTGGCCTCCGCATTTATGGGTACAACAAGGACTGGTCGGCTTGGAGTCAGTATAATGTGTCTGAGTGGGGGTATTCATGCTTCACTGCGGCATGGTATCTCAGTGGGATAGCACTATGAAACCAGCTTGAAGTCTAAGCAGGCTGGTACAGTCAGCCACATACACATATGCACACGATGCATCGCCATCATATGAGCTAAATATTCTCAAGCACTCCACGTTAAACCCCAATTTCACCTCATCTCACATCTTGGTAGTCAACATCATCATTTGAACAGTGTCTTGTACCCTCAACCCGGGCAGTTCCATGGATCACTTAGATCTGCCCCAACCCAGTCCCTCCACATCCTACACCTGCTCATTCCCTTTGGCAGTATCCTAGCTCCAGCCCCTGGTCTCTATCTCAGTTCTAAGTCTCACACAGTCATAGACCAATGTCACCAGAGCCTGGCCCCCAGTCTTGCCCTATGCCAGTCATCACTTCAGTCTCCAGTTTCACTGCATCCAGTCTCTCGTGTCACCCAAAACCAACATACACAGACTTCTGACATCACCTGCCATCTGATCCCACAGACCTGACATGAGGACGCAATGCCCACACCTGCCACACCTGGCA